GGCTTTAATCCTCCAGATCATGATATAATGAGAAGACCTCCGAGGAACAGTAGAGAACCAATCGTTGGAAAATGGTTGTTTTTCCGGTATATGATTGTTGGCATTTATGTAGGCGCAGCTACTGTATTTGCTTATGCTTGGTGGTTCCTATTTTATTCGGAAGGACCCCAAATATCATTTTATCAGTTGGTAAGTTTATTTCATATACTATTAATAATTGTGATAATTATTTCAACTGCTTATCCTAATCCTGGTGAAAATCCCTGAAGTCAAACTTTCATAGGTGCAACGAATTATTCCCAGAAATCGGCTGTGAGATGTTTAGCAACATTATGGCTAAACGTGCCACGACGATGTCACTGTCCGTCCTAGTCACCATCGAAATGCTTAATGCCACAAACTCCCTTAGTGAAAACGAGAGTTTGTTAACCTTACCTATATGGAAAAATATTTACCTTGTGCTATCGATAATTCTTTCGATGGCTTTACATTTCTCGATCTTGTATATCCCGTTTTTTACGGTAAGAATATTAACGACTCATCTTCGTTATTTAGATGGACATGTAACAATTTACTCAATTAATTTTTATTTAATGTAGAAATTATTTGCTATAGTTCCCCTCAACTGGGCTGAATGGCAAGCCGTTTTATTTATATCCATTCCTGTTATTATTATTGATGAAGTATTGAAACTATTCAGTCGAACATTTATTGGTATGTTATTTAAATTTGTCACTTGACTGAACATTGAAATATAAATTGAATTACAAATTATTTTGTTGATATAGCTCCACCTACGAAAGATGACTAATAAATTATGTTAAGGGTGTAAAGTAATAGTAGTTGAAGTTATTATTTCGGATATAATAAAGTTTTAGATGAGATGAGCAGTTTGTATCTACATTAATGCTCTAATTGTTTTACAGATGTAAAATATCGTACCGGATGGATCGAATTAACTATAATTAGATAGCCCTGATATATACTTAAGGCTTTTTTTTAGAAATATTCTAGTGAAACATGGATTGGATTACAAGAAATTTATTTATACATTGATGACGATAAAAACAGGTACAAGTTTAATACATATAATTTTATAATTTTTAAAAATTTACAGTTAGCTAAAGATGTGTATTATAAAGCATATTTTTTTTTAATGATAAATGGTTTCGTCTTTGTATCGATAAATATAATCAACACTTCATAGATTTCATTAAATATTGTCAAGTTCATATGAATATTTACAATTATTAATACAAAATTACAGTTTATTTTGTTATTATTCATTAAATAAATCCCACGGATAAATATTGAATCACGTTAATTATATGTTTTTAAAAAATATTATATGGTAGCTTACAAAAGTTTATCGATTTTATTAAAATTTAAATTATTATATATACAGTGTGGCACAAAAGTTTTTGGATTAATATTTTTTAATATAATTTAATAATTATTTAACATAAATAAAATTTTAA